GTACTGAATTCCCTGTATGACCTAATGAGGTTAACGAACATGCATAACAGACAATGCAAACAGGAATTGATTAGTTGGAGATGCACGTCCCTGTTACAAACGGGGAAGACTTAACTTTGATGAGAACGAGCCTGTAATCCCTTTTACATGGCACCAATGATGCTCGTTAACCCTCTTCAGCAGGTTTGGGATGATAGCTTGCAGGCTGCTAGGAATCAAATTAACCATATTTCTTCAATCAGCAAGAGGCAGATGGTTGTGAGACACCACAAGACATCTTTCAAGAAGGAGAAACCACTTGCAGACCAGGAAGCATCACCTCTCCATACTCTTCAAACTTGAAGCAGCAAATATTTTCTCTCTATGGAAGCTCCTTCTGTTTTGCACATTATCTCCAAGAACACGGAGCCTCATTTTCTAATACATGAAGAACTTATAATCGACTTCTCATGAAGCTCAGTGACTTTACAGAGAAGTTAAATTGACTTTAGGTCAACAAGTAAAACTATAAAGTGTTTCCACAATAAGAATTTACTGCATTACCTGCAAACAGACACGTGACCTCTGTTGTTATCTGAAGAACAACCACCAAAACCCCACATACAAACGCACAAAATCGTTAGCGTGCGTCTCAGCTCAGCAAACAGTTGAAAGATGCCCTCAAGACATCCTGCTCTCCTTTTCTTTCACTAAGGCAACACACACAACCTGCCAAAAGTCAAGCTGGAATATTAATATTTAATCGAGAGGAAATATCCTATAGCTATGGAAAAATCCTGCGTCTGAATACGATAATTACGTTATCGTGTAAACCATAATTTACATTTTCCGCAGCCACCAGAGCTCCCTCTGTTTCTGTTTCCCACAGCTTGCAGGCGTACAGCACGACAACCAGGTGGGCTTCCACGGAGGAGGCTGGAGAGCTCAGAGAAAGCTGCTGCAGCTTTCGGGCGAGCCCCACAAGTCCATCACAAGAGGACCGACGGGCTCCGTCCGCCGGTGGTGCAGAACCAGCTCCCAGGCACCTGGATACTGGATACACGCAAGGTGGATGAAGCACTCGGAGTCATAGAATCATAGAATGGTTTGGGTTGGAAGGGACCTTAAAGATCATCCAGTTCCAACCCCCCTGCCACGGGCAGGGACACCCTCCACTACACCAGGTTGCCCAAAGCCCCATCCAACCTGGCCTTGAACACTGCCAGGGATGGGGCAAGTCGTTCGGTTTTGTTTCGACTTGTTTCAAGTCGGTTCGTTTCGGCAACGCTCGTGTTATTTCAGAATCAAAGCACGTCCTGGAGACCACAAGAGAAATCATCCTGCCAAAAATGAAATGCCGTAACTTCTCCTGTGTACATGTGTGGTTTTCTAGGATGTGTATTTGAGAACGATACAAAATCATCCACAAAACGTTAAATTTTACCATCCATTTAAATCGCTTACGGTTGTAGTGGAGCCAGTAAATCAGACCGCCGTTCCCGCAGTGCCTGCTGTCACAGAAGACCTACAGCTTGAAGCATCCACACTCTTCTGTCGGTGGAAATACTTCCAGTGAAATGCTTGTTACAACAACACCTAAAGGTGCCTCCAGTACAGGCACTTCGAGCCTGCTTCCTGCGGGACACACGCACGCAGCCAGTGTAGCTCATGGCCTTTGGAAAGCCATTAAGAAGCACACATACTCAGCGAAGACTTAATTGAAACTAAGTATCATGGGCGTACTGAGTATTTCCCTTCTCTGGAGCTTAATCACTAGCCTGAAGAGCCAGGATGCCTTGTTTGCTCTCCTCAGTTTGTTTTTAGTAAAAAAAATGCAGAGCATCCTCACCTACCATACTCGATAACCTACAGTGGGGCACTATCTTGGAAAGCAAAAGAAAAAAAAAAAGAAAAAAAGAAAAAGAATCACAGAAAAACCATTCTGGAAGGAACCGTTCTGGGTTGGAAGGGACCTCAAAGATCATGAGGCTTTGGGCAACCTGGTGTAGTGGAGGGTTTCCCTGCCCATGGCAGGGGGGTTGGAACTGGATGATCTTGAAGGTCCGTTCCAACCCAAACCATTCTATGATCACCCAGTTCCAACCCCTCTGCCATGGCCAGGGACACCCTCCACTACACCAGGTTGCCCAAAGCCCCATCCAACCTGGCCTGGAACACTGCCAGGGATGGGGCAGCCACAGCTTCTCTGGGCAAACTGTGCCAGTGCCTCACCACCCTCAGAGGGAAGAATTTTTTCCTCAGATCCCATCGATATCTCCCCTCTTCCAGTTTAAAGCCATCACCCCGTGTCCTGTCACTCCATACCCGTGTCCAAAGCCCCTCTCCAGCTTTCTTGTAGCCCTTTAGGTACTGGGTGCTAGAAGATCACCCCGGAGCCTTCTCTTCTCCAGGCTGAACAGCCCCAACTCTCTCAGCCTGTCTCCAGAGCAGAGGTGTCTGCCACACTTACCACAGCATCCGAACCACTCGAGTCTCCTCTTAACTCTACTGAAGCCTGACTACATCAATTCAAAAGGAACCACCATCAGCTTTTAGAAAAACTAACAACGAAGACTTAAAAGAGGAGGTTCTTTGATACTAACATCAGCTCCTGTAACCTGTTCCAGTCATATTTTCCCCTTTTGCATTCTACATTGACTGTAATTCACCAATATTAAGAGTTTTTCAATTATTATGGAGCCATGATTTAGTATTATATTCTCTGAGGACAGGCTGAGAGAGTTGGGGTTGTTCAGCTTGGAGAAAAGAAGGCTGCGGGGAGACCTAAGAGCCTTCCAGTACCTAAAGGGGCTACACCACCTACCTGGTGTAGTGAAGGGTGCCCCTGCCCATGGCAGCGGGGTTGGAACTGGGTGATCTTGAAGGTCTCTTCCAACCCAAACCAGTCTATGATTCTATTATTTCTAAAACATAACGACTGATGAACTTTAATTATAGTAATGAACCCCAAGTAGATATTTTTAGATATCTATAGTGACATTCAGATAGAAAACTTCAGGTCTAGCCACGCAAAAGCACAGCTCCATTTCAGCAGTCGCACACCACAACACTGTACTTCAACGTACCAGCCACACCTCTGCAAGTGCACGCTATGGATTCCCCCGAGCCCTGCGGTGCAAAGCTGTTTTGGAGGTGGAAGGCACCGCAGATTGTGGAGTGACCCAGTTCACTCTTGCTGAGCAGCTCCCCCAGGGAGAACCATCTGCTGTTGTCCTAATTTATTCCATTAGTCACAGCCCAATACAAATCGCATTAACTATAAGAGGGCAGCGTTACTTATGGAACTCACCACGCAGCTCATTCAGAAACCATCATGCTCTGGTCATCTGCTCCCCAACTCCCCATATTAAGTGACAAGCACCTCAGAATCTCTATCTGCAACTTGTGTGCAAATTCTCCTAGAGAAAGGGCTAACCTACAGACTAGTGACGTCACCAGCGATGTGGCAATGGCAAACCTCCGCGGTCGTGCTGCGGGATTAAGAATTAAGACTCAAAGCAGCACACGTGCTACAGAGGCCCTTAACACGTACGTGCAACAGTGAAGCCCGTACTTGGACAATATGGAAAACCAAAAACCCAGGAAGAAAAACTTAACTGAAGCTGAGCTTATTTTAAAATCAGCATCCAACTTAGTCGCGGATGGAATAACGCGTAGATTTGTTTTGCAGTAGATCAGAAAACAAAAGCAGGGCTGCGATGTTTGCTGTCGGTTCTGCGCAACACGGCACTGCAGAACGGGGAGAAGCAGACATTCCAGACACCAGTGCTCCCCTTCCAACATATACTCCACGTCTTCCCAAAGCACTGACCTGCCTCCCATCAAGTCTGTCCCACTGAGTGTAAAACTGAAAAACGCAACAGGAGGACTGAGTCGTCTGTTAACTTCTTTTCTACTTAAAAAATACCTTCGTGAGTGAAGTGGTATTTTTAAAATCTAATTTAAAAGTGTGGTTTTACAATGGGCATTCAGTCCCACAAACAGTAGATGTACATCTTCACCTGCGTGACTGGCAGCCGGTAACGGAACAGCACGGGAACACACCGGTCCCTTATGACCCCATCACACAACCCGGCACCTTGCTCACGTCTCTAGATGGGGTGACAGTTGGTCAACTACAAGATGCACAAGCACAGCCCAAATCAAACCCTCCAGCCAATCTAGATTACACTCTGCTCAGTTTTACCCAAAGCCATAGGTGCCTTTAAATATCCAGTCACTAAATTCACTGAAATCATTTGTGATAAGCTGAACAAAACAGCAGCCAACCAAGCAGGAGAGAAAATTAAAGGCCTACAGACAAGTCGGTAGATCCGTACCAAACTCAAGAGGTGAAAGTCAGTAGGGACGTAGTGAAACGTGAGCGCCTATTTTACTGTTGGGGAGCCAAAATAGAGTCAAACAGGAAGGGGTTAAACAGTGATTTCACTTCACAGGGAGTTCTCACAACATAGGCTTTTACTTTCCCTAATAAATAAATTTGCAACTGTCACAGTTTCAGGTAACAGACTTCAGACAAGTTTCTGCTGAATACTCCAGAAAACAGCTCGATTGACACCGAGCCCTAAAACAAGAGCCTGTTAGTACGGCTGTGTAATGTACAACGACCAGAGCCAAGAACCGTGGCGTTACTGGGTACCAGTCCACCATTCAGTAAGTTGTTCCTCGTCTGCTACCACCACGGTTAGCGATGTACTCGGAGTACCGGACTTAAAACTGGTTACCAAAAGGTGGGATATATAACGTTATGGATTCATATACAAAGAGCCACTAAAACTGTTTGCTTTATTGCAGCTATCATGCTAGAAAGGCAGCGCCATCTAACTGCTCTAACACCCACACAACGGGCACGAAGCGTTCTGCTCTGGCGTTTTTGCCCGTTCAACTCTGAGCATCCCAAGCAACGGCCCTTCCATGCAGCGAGAGTAGGAAAAAAATTGCTAAAAAATGCCTAAGGAACCTAATCTGCAGAACTTCCTGCGTTTTGACGGACAGCCTACCGATTTTCTCCGGCTCATCAGGACCTGTTCCGGCAATGCAGCTGCTCTCTAGTCCGTACGTTGGATCCACCTTCCCAGAGGCTCTTGCTGCTTCCTGTACCTTCTTCACGTGAGCTTCAACGAGCTCCAGTGGCACCTCCTCTCTGACCCGAGAAAACTCCTCTGTTAAAAACGACACAGAAAACGTTACATCGCGAGGGTTTCAAGGCAAACTAAAAGTTACGATTTTCTCTGATCAATGCGCAGGTGAATCTCGTGACAAAGTGAATTCTCAAATATCTAAGTTCTTTCTTTTCACATTAGGTAGTTGATTTTCGCTCACAAAAGTGGTATCGTGTCCTGGGCTGTATCAAAGGAGCGTGGCCAGCAGATTGAGGGAAGTGATTCTGCCCCTCTACTCAGCTCTCATGAGACCCCACCTGGAATGCTGTGTTCAGCTCTGGAGTCCCCAACACAAGAAGGACATGGAGCTACTGGAGCAAGTCCAGAGGAGGCCACGAAGATGATCCAAGGGCTGGAGCACCTCTGCTCTGGAGACAGGCTGAGAGAGTTGGGGCTGTTCAGCCTGGAGAAGAGAAGGCTCCGGGGTGATCTTATAGCAGCTTTCCAGTACCTAAAGGGGCTACAGGAAAGCTGGAGAGGGGCTTTTTACAAGGGCGTGTAGTGATAGGACATGGGGTAATGGCTTTAAACTGAAAGAGGGGAGATTTAGGTTAGATATAAGAAAGAAATTTTTCACTCTGAGAGAGGCACTGGAACAGGTTGCCCAGAAAAGTTGTAGATGTCCCAGCCCTGGCAGTGTTCCAGGCCAGGTTGGATGGAGCTTTGGGCAACCTGGTGTAGTGGAGGGTGTCCCTGCCCATGGCAGGGGGGTTGGAACTAGATGATCTTAGAGGTCCCTTCCAACCCAAACCATTCTATGATTCTATGGTAGTTAAAAGAGTCTCTTCCCAATTATGTAACGTTGTCTTTTATGTGGAAAAATAAGGAGAAAAGTGAAAGGAACTCTTTCATGACGTTTCTCACGGGACACAAGTAACTGGCAGATAATTTCACACGAGCAGAACAGGACAGTTTAGCACTGTGTATTCAGCCCATAGCTACACTAAGGACAGCGGGCACCGTAACACCGACCCGGTGATGCCTGCAAACGCTGTTAACAGCAACGAGCACAGAAGGGCAGAACAAGCCCCTGTCAGACACTCAGTGCCATCCAAGTGCTATTCTAACCTGCCTGCAAATTGGCAGGTTCAGGAACAACAGATCACAAAAATGCATATCAGTAGATCTGCTTTCTATACAAATGTACATTTATTTTTACAACTTATTATCCACCCTGACGAAACTCCAGAACCAGCTGGTTGCAAGAGCAAAAAGAGCAAAGTCGTAAAGACAGAGTGACAAAAATTGCTGGGGTGAACCCACACCTAAAGCAGCCTTCGCCGCGGCTGATGCCACGCGGGGATCCACCACCGACGCCAGAAAAGCGACCGTGCTCATCACCGGATTGCCGGACTGGCTGAAGGGCACGGGCTGGTACGCCAGCGGGCCCAGGGAGGCATCGGAGTTCTCCAGGTAAGGGTCCTCGATCGGGAGTCTCAGAAAATGCAGAATGCACTCGTCCTGGGTACGGCTCCCGACGTGCTCCGAGACTTTGTTCCAGTCATCTTTGTACATCTCCAGAGCCTGCGGAAGATGGAAATCATTGTATGTACATTGACTGCTCCGGGGGGAAAAACCCTCTACTTTATGCAGAAACATTTTCAATACTACTTATTTCCATGATGGAACAATAAATCGGGATCAGACAACTATTTAAAACCATTTTTTTTTCGGTAGCAAAATTATTCTGCATAAGAAATATGAACATCTCACTGGGACAGCAGCTAAATTTAAGCTGCAGTGATCATCACACGAGTTTTATGCTGTTGCTATATCAAAAAGAATTGTCAGAAGATTTGAGATTTACTAATAATATTTGCATAGTTCGCGTTTCCCCGTTTTGCTTTCACACGTAAAGCTTTACAGAGGAATAAGTTTGCTTATCCGACCGAATCTCAGCACCTCTTTTAATTCCCATAACTACTTCCCGTGAGGACACTCCTGTGCTCTCTAATTTGTGTCCTAACACACTAAGTTTGGGGCAGAAATGGTATTTATTTCATATACATACACAACACCTATGCTGGTGGAGTCCAGTTTTCAGATCCAACAGATGTTATGAAAATTTAAGAGCATCAAACCAATATAAGGTGGGAAAAAAAAAAAAAAAAAAAAAAAGGAAAGCACATTCTATATCATGGCCAGAAAATATTAGTTCCTAGCAACTGTTAACCAGTCTGATTTTTTTTATGCATTCAGGCTAACAAATCGTTATTATGTAAATAAGCCACCCGATAAAGTAAGAAATTCTGGATTAAATCAAAGATTTTGCAATTCAGAATTTCAGTCACTTTGAAAGTTAATTCAGAAAACTCTTAACAATGTTCAGTAACGAGCTCCTGAAGTCCCCGCAGTGGTTTTTGAAAAACTAACAAATTAGTACTGTAAAAACCCAAAGCAGCAGCTGAAGAGAATATTATCCCTTAACAAGCTTTTTTTTTTTCCTCCTGAAAACTAGCTTAGTTAAGCATTTGGATAGTGTAAAATAAATGCTGAAGTATCCTAAATCATTAACTTTTACATTACTGAGACGATTTATGGTCCAGTCACCTAGAAAAAGTACCAGGCCATTTGAGATGTAGGTAAAATATGTTAAAACTCAGAAATGAAAATGGGATCTGCAACTGGCAGGCGTAACAGATGTCTTCTGAAAATACTTAATGCCAGAGGCACGAGCAAACCTTTCTGTTTGAGTTGCAGATCCCATTTTCATTTTGAAGTTTAACATATTTGGCCAAGAAGTTGGTTTTTTACTTACACTATACGTACTCTACAACAAAGGTAAGTAGCTTCTGCGTAGCTTCACGGCAGTTTTGGCCATACCCGGGGTAGGAGGACGAACAGAATCTGAAGCAGGTACTATTAGATTGCTTGGAAGATCCCTATGATACGTCCTTGTTGACTTGCTGGCTACCAGAGAGGCTGCCTTGGACTTTAAGGCACCTCTTTGCCGGTATAAGAAGTTTAAGAAGGCACAGGAATCACCCCCCTCCCTAACTAACTCCTCTCGACAACGGAGTTTCCCCAAATAAGCAGCATGTCCATTTAAGCGTGAACGTTCAGGAAAAACAAGAAGCTGATGGTTTTTCAATACTTGAAATCTTTCCCACAAGGCTGAGAACTACCAGGAACGGAAACCTTCAGGGTAACACGCAAGACTGACTTGGCTTTCCACATGCACAACCTTTCATGGTGTAACGGCAGAACTCAGAGCTGGCCTGTATGTCAGACATCACGACACGGATACATCCAACATCAGACATGGCCAGTAGGTCGGGGGAGGGGATTCTGCCCCTCTGCTCTGCTCTCGGGAGACCCCCCTGCAGTGCTGCCTTCAGCTCTGGGGGCCCCAACACCAGAAGGACATGGAGCTGCTGGAGCGGGGCCAGAGGAGGCCACGGAGATGATGGGAGGGCTGGAGCACCTCTGCTCTGGAGACAGGCTGGGAGAGTTGGGGCTGTTCAGCCTGGAGAAGACAAGGCTCTGGGGAGACCTTCCAGCAACTTCCAGTGCCTAAAGGGGCTACAGGAAAGCTGGAGAGGGGCTTTGGACAAGAGTGTGGAGTGAGAGGGCACGGGGCAATGGCTTTGAACTGGAAGAGGGGAGATTTCAATGTGATCTGAGGAAGAAATTCTTCCCTCTGAGGGTGGTGAGGCACTGGCACAGGTTGCCCAGAGAAGCTGTGGCTGCCCCATCCCTGGCAGTGTTCCAGGCCAGGTTGGATGAGGCTTTGGGCAACCTGGTGTAGTGGAAGGTGTCCCTGCCCATGGCAGGGGGTTGGAACCGGATGATCTTGAAGGTCCCTTCCAATCCAAACCAGTCTGGGATTCTATGTATGAGTAGCGCACACACAGTTGGTACGCTGGATGCTTCAGCAGAGTTACTGGTGACAAACAGAAGACAAACTGAGCCATATGTTAAGAGCTCCCCAACCTGGGAAGGGACATTTCCACAAAACAAATTACTATCTCTCTCTCTATATATATATCTATACACACACACATATATATGAAGGTTGTGTATTCAGAAGACAATCGCCTGCAGGACTACACATCAACCAGTCTTTTTCATCAACAATAAATATTTTTTTTAAAAAATCCAGGAGTTTCCAAACATACTGTTTTCTTCACAGCAGTTCTGGAGGAAAAGCGTTTCATATTTTTTTTTGCAGCTGATACATAAGCTGCGAGAATTCTTCAAAGACAAAGTAATCTACCTGAACAGGACCCTTGGGCATGTGGTGGATGTTGAAGGTCAGCTGGGGAAAAAGCGCAAGCTCGGTAACATTTTCAAAGACGTGGAAGAAGACGGAGTAAAAGGACAGAGGAGTTAAAGCCGAGAGCGTCAGAGATCCAACGGGCACTGAACAAATTAGAGGGAAAAAAAAGATCCAGTTGGCTGCAGCGGGTGGAGCTTTTTAGCCCCTGGATCTGAAAGCAGTTTAAGCTTCACCTGAAAGCAGTTTTCAGCTTTCCTCTCTCAAAGCTGAGAGAGGTGTCACTGCTTAAATTGGGTGGGGAGGAGAGAAGAAACCCCAGTATACCTTCAGAAGGTCACCGGTTCCCTGCTCCTTCCCTTCCCTTAAAACACTGGGTGTAAGATTAGCTGGATCAGTATCGGACTATGGGAACGCTGTGCTCTAACAGAGCTTACCCAGATGGAAAGAACATTATGGGAACTGTTGAAGACCATCAGTTAGACAACGTGAAAGCGTTCTGAAAGCTCAATGGAAATAACAACTTGGTTTGGGAACGAACAAAGGACAGAGTATATCAGACCGCCCGGTCCACCCCGTGGGAATCAACGGTCCCCAAGTGTTTATTTCTCCCCACCTCTGCCTGATCTTGTCCAGGTGTTTCAAGGAACAAGAACGTGCTTAGTTCACCGGGTCATACTCTTGGGAAATCTTTACTCAACAGTCAGCCCTCATTTCCCTCTCCCTAACACCATCTCGGTGCTGTAAGTTATGTGCCACTGTCTATCCATTTTTAATCACACTAGCACAGAAGATCAGCTTTGCTTTTCATGGCCATGCAGGGGTTGGGTTGGTTTCTTTTTTTTTTTTTTTTCCTCCCCTCCTCATTCTCCTTCATTGCTTGTTATTTTTCTGCTCGATGAACTAGCTCTCTCAATAGTTGTCCTTACTATAAATAGCTGCAAATGCACTTAACTATGCAAGAATAGTGCTCCGTGGGGATACAGAGCAGCAGTGTGGCAGGGAAGATGATTCTAGGAGGAAAACAGTATTTCCTCCCCCCAATTTATTCAGTCAACAGGCAAAAGGACAATAATTATTTTAGATAAGATTTATTCTTTGGAACTTCACTGCATATATATTTGCCCAAAGCTACCCTGAGGATTTAATTGGACTGAGCTGGCTTGTTATAGCTGAATTACTTATGCTTGAACTGATATACTCCTTACTGATTTATTTATAAGTTAAATCCGCGAAGAATGAAGAATAAAAACATTATTAATTTAAACTCACATTAAATAAAATTGCAATCTCAAGACTTAGGGGGTTTTTTGGTTTGTTTTTTAAAACAAGGAATACGACATCTGGATTATTTCACTAGGCTACTACTTGCTATGTATGACCATAAGCTACAAACATATAAAAGAATGAATTTTAAATATTAATACTAGTAAGGAAAGAAGCCAGGATATCGAGATATTACTCTTATTTCTCCATACAAGAACTCCACGAAAGACATCTCAGCTGTTTTCACCCTATAAGCAGAATTTTTCCACGTGTCAATAGAAAAGTATCAGCCAAACAGTGTGTATCAACCTAACATAAACCCAAATAAATAAATATCTGTTTGGGCTGTCTGAGAAACACACTTCCATATCTGTGAAGGCTGGATCAGAGTATGCTGCTGATTAGGCACTTTGGCTAGCTCAGAAAAGAAGCCACACAGAGGCCAAGTATTGTTCAGCACCATCAAGCACTGTCAAGACCAATTGTCTGTGCTTTTCCTTATGAAATTAACTTTCCAATGGGTTTACCGACACGTGGAAAGACAAAAAAGCCAGAACAATCAAGTAATTGCAGTCTGGTTTCAGCTCACTCTGCAAGTAAAAACAAACACAAAAAAATCCCCCAAACTGGAATTCTTACACCAGAACTCTGAATTAAATAAAAGGAGAAAAATCAACCACCCAACCTCTACATGAAGAAAACATTCCTGTAAGAGAAAGCTAGATAGGCAATAATTTCTTTATAGGAAGTGGCAGCACATTAATTATTTCAGGCAACCGAGATTGTTCTTCTGATGAAGCACTATGAAAAAAACCCGCTGCCCTGATGTCAGTGTGAAAGACTAGAACATCCTTCTGCAGTGCCCTTCATGGTGGTTTTCATCCTAGACTGGAACACCAAGAGACCTGACAACTACCGTGTGGTTCGAGGGCATCAGATCAGGCAATCTGGGAACACGGACTGGATTCCAGCCTGCTACCAGTTCGTTGACATCATTTTTACAGTACCAATGTGATTTGAGTCATCTCGGGTACATTTCTTGAAGACTTTCGGAAAATGCTTAAAGAATACGTCAAGTGCAGCTATGTGGCAAAGGAATGAGGAGACGTATGGGACTAAAGGGCAACCAAATAAAAAGCTTCTGTTAGTGGCAAGAGACAGAAAACAGACTCATCTGTTTCTTAATCATTTGAACTTCAAAAAATAGCACTTTCGCTTAACATGCTATGGTACAGCCAGGAACTTGTAAATATTATCAAAATTTCAAAATATTCATCCTAGTGGCAAGTAAACCATTACTTGAAAGGCATTTATTTCATTCTGTTTAGTCACTTCTGTTTAATGAAAAGACCTCTCTGCCCTGCAAGATCTGTTTTTGAGTTGATGCAAACATTCTTAAATAATTCCATTTCTGGCTGACAGGAACAAGTCAGAACTGGACCTTCAAGTACACGAAGCCCCTCTACTACACAGATGTTACTGCCATCTCTTTTTAGTACGAGCATTCTCATAGCCACGCTGGTCAAATAAAGAGATATGGTTTGGAGGGAGAGCTGTAACCTTCTACCAATTCAAAAGCCAAAACCACAACAGAAAGGCAGATACTCAACCACTCCCCTCCGCCAGCTATGCCAGTCGAGTCCCAAGAGCTTGCTTCCCACTATACACCCTGCTTCACTATTCCAGTTTCTGTAAAAGCATGCAGTTCTCATCTAAATCCACTTAAAAAAAAAAATTGTTTAACCTACATGGAGATTTTAAAAGCATGTAATATCCAGCATGTTTTGGTTTCACCCTCACGAACTTACTTCTAACAGCAGCAACGTCTCTTGTTCTGTCCATTCTCTTCCAGCACTGGCACCTTTACTCTACAAAAGATGGAGAAAAAAAGTGAAACCCAGGTCTTTTTGCACAGAACTTTCCAGAAGCAAACACTAAGAAGGAAAGGGGAAGATGTACCTTTCACAACCTCCCTACTACAGCTGACCGACCCTGGCTTATCTCGCGCAGCGGTTCGCTTCACACCATTTACTTACGGAGCCCCGGCACGCGGGCGAGCACGTTCCTGCAGCCTCTGCGGAGGCTGGGCATTACAGATCCCACCTCCCCAACATGTTCAGAACCACCTGCAACTCCTCTTTTATTCCAAGCTAAAGCAAAGTGGGTTTGTACCCTTTTCTCCTGGCTCCCGACTATCTTTGTTTGCACATCCAGCAAACAGAGACGACGATATTCCTAAATAATAAAAACTCTTCGGAGTGCTGATGGCATTCTGGTCAGCTTGAGTTTGGCCAGTAAAGTTAAGACAAGAAGAGAGCAGCTTACACAAAGCATTCTACAGAGCGGCAGCCAACGGACATAACGGAATTATCTAACCCCCCAGCTGCCGTACAGCCGCAGGTATTGCTCATTTCAGGCGCATACCTGGAATTCTCTGAGCTTACAGGGGACCCTTCTCAACAGAATAGGGCTCTTGTCGATGGAACTTCAGCCCCCATCAAGCCTCTGCTTCCACAGCACACAGACTGGACTGTGTGAGGTGTATGCTGATCCAAACAAAAGTTCACTTATCTAAAAGTTCATCAGTAACTTGGTAAAAAAAGGGATAAACCTTTGCAAGTCAGAGGAGCTATCCGAAAAGACGGAGTAATTGCAGCAAGATGATCTGCAAATTTAGCAATCACTTGTGCCAAAAGGTGCTGCTCCCAAATCTCTCCCTCATGGTTAATTCCTGAGGTTTCCTGAAAGTTACAGAGCTCTTGATGAAAACTTCCCCTTCCCTGATTACAGACACCCCAACCCATTACATGTCAAATCAAGACAAAAGCAGCTTGTCACCTGCTTAGGACAGATCACCCAGACTGGATGTCTCTGCGTGAGACCACAGCAAAAGGAAAAAGGTATTTAGGATAAGTAAATCTATCCTATCTCAAGAAGCATTTCAAACAGACCATCAACCCACAGAGAACGTTTATCAACGTGAGTCATCCAGCAGCTGATTGCTTCTCAAAGAGGCTGGTAGGAACAGCCAAAAAAGCAATTGCCACACACATAAAACAAACAGAGAAATCAACTTCTGCAGACAAATTTGCTCAAATTCATTATTACAGATGCCCCTAAACAGAACCAGAGTCTAGAATCAGTAAAAGATTTATGAATTTGGTGAATATTTTTACCTCTCTACAAGAAAAAGCCACTCCATGAAATGTGATATGGAATCAAGTTTTATAAAAAAAATTACAATCTCTAGAACTATCATGTTATGTTGTTTGTTTTTTTTTTTTTTAAATAGTTATTTCTTAGGTGATAAATACTGTATAAATATTTTAAATAATAGTGTATAAATAGTTATCTCTTAGGTTTAAATAGTGATGTCTTAGGACAACGAACACCAGTTACAGAGAATGAGCCTGATACCAGCCCAAGGCAGGCACTCATCAGCAGAACTCTGCAGTCTTCCAGTCTGAAGCCTACGCTGGAGCAGCAAACTGGTATTCCTGCAATACCCCCAAGCACCACCAGGCACACATGCAACAGGAGGAGTTAAGGGCAACAGGTTATGGAATTACCAGTGCCAGTGCAATGGTACCTCAAAACTTTACCTATACAACCAAACAGATTGCAACGATGGTGCTAAAACATCCCCTGCAATGGTTCTGTGACACCTTTTGTAATGGAGCAACTTTCTAGATCCCTCAGTCTGGAAAACCCTGCTCAGACTTGGAAAACAGGTGAGTTAAAGACCCTGCTGAAAGATCTCAGCTTCTGTATTGAATTATGGGACAGTTTGTTGACTCTGAACCATTCCGGTAAAATACGCAATAACGTAAGAGTTCAGTGTCTGGAGACCAACGGTACGGACTGGCTGGGAATAGGCACACGTGTCTACAAAATCAGGTCTCCAACACAACCATAAGTGAGGCATCTCAGCATCCCATGTCGAGACGGAAGAACTCTAAAACGGGAATGGAGGACTAACATAAATTACTCAATGTCATCTAGTGGAGGACGCTTCAGGAAAAAGCCTTAATAGAAGCTGCAGGGAAAAAAAAAAATCCCAACACACTTGCCTTTGCTAAAGTCTTTTTTGAGTAAATGTCTGTGCGAAGTCCAAAGTTCTGCAGGTCAGTGGGCTTCTCTTTGTTTTTCTCAGGAAAACTCAACATCTGCTGAGCAGCTGGAACCTGTGAACAAACATTACAAGAGAAAGGTGAGCGGGGCAGGAGTTCAAAGCTACTCAAGGTTTTCAGACCAATGTTAAACAGAACACGGACTGAACAAAGAAGTTGAACGTGAGTCTACAGAGATGACTTTACATAGTATCACTTGCATGCAATGCTAGCAGATTTGTTTTAGAGATTCCAGCTACCTGAAACTCTCAACCTAGATGGTTGAGACACAAGAAGGACAACACAAGAAGGGCATGGAGCTGCTGGAGCAGGTCCAGAGGAGGCCACGGAGATCATCTGAGGGCTGGAGCATCTCTGCCATGAAGACAGGCTGAGAGAGTTGGGGCTGTTCAGCCTGGAGAAGAAAAGGCTCCAGGGAGACCTTCCAGCACCTAAAGGGGCTACAGGAAAGCTGGAGAGGGACTTTTTTACAAGGGCGTGTAGTGACAGGACACGGGGCAATGGCTTTAAACTGAAAGAGGGGAGATTTAGATTGGATATAAGGAAGAAATTTTTCATTCAGAGAGTGGTGAGGCACTGGCACAGGTTGCCCAGAGAAGCTGTAGATGCCCCATCCCTGGAAGTGTTCAAGGCCAGGTTGGATGCGGCTTTGGGCAACCTGGTGTAGTGGAGGGTGTCCCTGCCCATGGCAGGGGGGTTGGAACTGGATGGTCTTTGAGGTCCCTTCCAACCCAAACCATTCCATGATTCATTCTATGGACAAAAAAAAGGCAACATTTCACCAAATGGTGCACAAGTTGTTCTACTGACACGTTAAAGGACGTTGGGTGGAGCTAGGGCAAACACGCATGAGCGCGGCGTGCGGGGCTCACCTGCGGCGTGCGGATGTGCAGAGGCATGAGCCCGGAGGGGGTATCGGCCAGCACGTTGAAGTGAGGAGTAGGGGGGGGGCCCATTGCCATGGGACGGCTTTCTGGATCCACCTGGTAGTTAATGAGACCCCACTGCTCCAGAAAAGCATGTACTCTAGGAAACAACGTGACAAATTAAAATCTGAAGAACTAAAGCCTTGCTTATGCTTGACCCTGCAGAAAGGGGACAGCAAAGGAGGCAGTTTATGTTTCTGCATCACACAGATCCAGAATCTTCTACAGTCCTTCATTAATCACAAACAGCAATACAAGCTTTGTGCAGACTTGACTGCGCTTCAGCACGTTGCATAAAACAAAACATGACATTTTTTGCTGTAAATAACAGGAAATTAATTAATTCAGGACAAAGGCAAAGTAAAGCTAGGGCTGCACACATGGAACCGTTTGCAGACAACGTACGGACTGTGAGCACTGCCCAACCATAAAACTGACATAACTGAACTCCAAAACTGGAATTTCTGAAAAAAAAACCCTAAATAATCC